TCCTTATGACTCCATGGTCTAGAGGTTGAATTAAAGACATTGTGTTTGAGGGCAAGTAGACCACTTCAACATCTCATGGGGTTCTGGGTAGATAGGGCATTGTCTAAAATCAAAAGAATGTTAAAAGGCAGTCCCTCACTGGCAAGGTACTTCTGGACTTCAGAAACAAAGTTCTGATGGAACCAATCCAGAAAAAGCATTCTCCTTGTCCAGGCTTTCTTGTTGTACAACCATAACAGTAGCAGTTGGTGTTTATCTTTCCCCTTCAAGCCTCAAGGGTTAGCAGCTTTATAGATAAAGGCAGTTTGGATCATAAACCCAACTGCATTTGCACAAAATACGAGCATTAGCCTATCCCTTCCTGCCTCAAATCCTGGTGCTTGCTTCTCTTCCTTACTAGTAAATGTCTTTTGTGACACTTTTTTCAGAATAGGGCACTTTGGTCTGCATTAAAAACCTGTTCAGGCAGATGTCCTTTCTCCTCAATGATTTTTTTTTTTAAGTTTTATTGTATTTATTTGAGAGAGACATAGAGAGTGTGAGGTGGGGAGGGTTAGAGAGACAAAGAGAGAATCCTAAGCAGGCTCAGGATACACTGCCAGCACAGAGCCCAACATGGGGCTTGAACTCACAAACCGTGAGATCACAACCTGAGCTGAAACCAAGAGTCAGGTGCTCACCCGATTGAGCCATCCAGGCACCCCCTCAATGATTTTTTTAATGGTGTCTGAGAACGCATCTGGCTGCATCTTGGTTGGTGAAAGCTGCTGCTCCTGTTTTCTTGACATTTTTCAAGCCAAACTTCTTGTTAAAATGAACAAATTGTCTTTTGCTGGCGTTAAATTCTCCAGCTTTAGAATTTTCATCCTCCTTTTGCTTTAAATTGTCATATAATGACCTCACTTTTTCTTGAATCATATTTGAGTATATAGGTATGTCTTTCTTATACTAATCCTGTACCCAAATAAGAGCTGCACTTTCAGTAGGAGATAAAAAAGTATTTTGCAACAAGTACAAAATTTTCACCCTCATTTGTGACAGCTTCACCAATTTCCTTTTCATTTATTTTTATGATGTTCCTTACACTGGATTCATTTATCTTGAAATGCAGGCCACCACACTGCAGACTTCAATCTACATGTAGTACATATCAAGCAACTCAACTTTTTCTTGTCATGTCATGACTTTCCTCTGCCTCTTTTTTTTAATGTTTTTTTAAAAATTATTTCTGAGAGAAAAAGAGACAGCGAGAGCAGGGAAGAGTCAGGGAGAGGGAGATACAGGATCTGAAACAGGTTCCAGGCTCTGAGCTAGCTGTCAGCACAGAGCCTGACGTGGGGCTCAAACCCACGAACCGTCAGATCATGACCTGATCTGAAGTCGGAGGCTTAACTGACTGAGCCACCCAGGCACCCTGACTTTCCTCTGCTTCTTCAAAGCACTTTGAGCATCACTAGTGACTCTTCTCATGGGTCCCATGGCATTATTCAAGGTTTACAGTGTTGCACTAAAGCATGGTGAAAAACATGCAAGAAACTTGAGAACACATTTTACTGTGATACACAATATACTGGAGAGAAAAACTGGTCATATGGAGATTATTATCATAACAGCATTTTAAATGGATACTGGCAATACTGGAAATACTAGCTCACCACCATTGCTAGGAGAGATGGATACAAAATTCTTGCAGTAGTATAATATGTGCTACAGTTAATTTTATGTACTTATGATTTAATACTGCATCTTTGCATTTGTTTACAATTCTTTTGACCATAAGTGGCAGCATGTATGGTTTGTATTTGTGTGCATAAGTTTTGATAAATTTTAACTTTTTATAATACATTTGTGTATATTTTATAGTAACAAATGACAAAATAGTATCTACATATATTTATGCATTCATGACATATCTAGCTTCTTAATTTTCTGATATATGTAGGCTACGCAGTTCATCTCTGAGTTTTTTTCAAATAGATACAAATCTCCAAAAATTTTCCAATATATTTATCAGAAAAATCCATGTATAAGTAGACCCACACAGTTCAAATGCATGTTGTTCAATAGTCAACTATATTTATTCCACAAATATATACTGGGCATCTACCATGTGTTAAGAACAAAGTGTTAGGATGTAGATTTGGATTAGACAAAGACCCTATCCTCAGGAAGCTTACATTCTATGAAGAGAGATGATATATATATAGATAGATATAGAAATATAGATATATAGTCATTTCAGAGAGTGACATGTGATATAAGGAAGTTACAAAGAGTAATGGGAGTCCTCCTTGAAGAAATACCACTTCAGCTGAAAACTAAAAAATAAGAACCAGCCATGCAAAGACCTGTTGCTTTTTTTTCTTTTGCTGTGGTAAAATATCTATAACATGAAATTTATCATTTTTAAAGTTTATTTTATTTGGAGAAAGAGCACAGGTAGGGGAGGGGCAGACAGAGAGAAAGAGAGAATCCCAAGCAGGCTCCACACTCTCAGGGAGGAGCCTGATGTGGGCCTTGAACTCACAAACTTTGAGATCATAACCTGAGCTGAAATTGGATGCTTAACTGACTGAGTCACCCAGGAACCCCCAAATTTACCATTTTTTAAGAGTAGAGGTTTGTGACATTAAGTACATGTACATTGTTGTGCAACTATTGCCATCACCCATCTCCAGAACTCTCATTTTCTCAAACTGAAACTCTGCACCCACTAATCAATAACTCCTCACTCTCCTGTGGCAACCACTATTCTACTTTCTGTTTTATGAATTTGACTCCTGTTAGGTACTTCATATAAGTGTAATCATACAGTGTTTGTCCTTTGATGATGAGCATATTTCACTTAGCATAAGATCACCAAGGCTCATTCATGTGTCAGAATTTTTTTTATTATTATTTAAAATTTTTTTTAACATTTATTTATTTTTGATAGGGAAAGGGGCAGAGAAAGAGAGACACACAGAATCTGAAGTAGAATCTAGACTCTGAGCCGTCAGCACAGAGCCCAATGCAGGGCTCGAACTCATGAGACATGAGATCATGACCTGAGCTGAAGTTGGATGCTTAACGGACTGAGCCACCCAGGCACCCTTCCATGCATCAAAATTTTTTAAAATGAATATTCCATTGTATGTATATACCACATTTGTGGTATTCTTCTGTTGTTCATCTTTGTGCTTTTGTGAACAATGTTGCTATGAATACAAGTATAAAATGTCTATTTAAGTGCCTGCTTTCAATTCTTTTAGTGCATATCCAGAAGTGAAATTGCTGGATCATATGGTAATTATATCTTTAATTTTTTGAAGAAGTGCTAAACTGTTTTCCATAGCACCTAACACCATTTTACATTCCTTCCTGCAAAGCATGAAGGTTGCAGTTTCTTCAGATCCATACCAACTCTTGTTTTGTACCTTTATTATTATTATTATTATGGCCACCTAGTGAGTATGAAATGGCATCTCACTGTGATTTTGATTTATATTTCCCTAGTGATTAGTGATGCAAAGCATCTTTTTATGTGCTTATTGGCCATTCGTATATCTTCTTTGGAGAACTGTCTATTCAAGCCTTTTGACCTTTTTTAATCGAGTTGTTTGGCTTCTGTTGTTAAGCTGTAGGAATTCTTTATATATTCTACATATTAACTCTTTTTAGATGATTTGCAAATATTTTCTGCCATCATGTGGGTTGTCTTTTTACTTTAATAATGTACTTTGATACATAGAGGTTTTTAATTTTGAAGTTTGATTTATCTAGTTTTTCTTTGTTGCCTGTGCTTTTGGTATTATTTCCAAGAAATCACTGGCAAATCCAGTGTCATGAAGCTTTTCTCCTACGTTTCCATCTAAGAGTTTTATACTTTTCACTCTTATGTTTTAGGCTTTGGTTCATTTTGGCTTAATTTTTCTCTATGGTGTAAGATAAGGGTCTGACAATCCTTCTGCATGTGGATGTCCAATTTTCCTAGCACCATTTTTCGAAAAGGCTGTCTTTTCCCCATTGAATGGCCTTGATATCCTTGCCAGAAATAATTTGAGAACATACCTGAGAGATTATTTGGGGGCTCTCCACTCTATTTGATTGGTCTGTATGTTCTTCTTTATGCCAGTACCACAGGTTTTTTAAATTACTATAGTTTTGTTGAGGTTAGAGTTTTATTTTTTTAATTTTTTAAAATTTACTTATTTTTGAGAGATAAGTGAGACAGAGTATGAGTGGGGGAAGGGCAGAGAGAGAGGGAGACACAGCTGTCAGCACAGAGCCTGATGTGGGGCTTGAACCCACGAACCATGAGATCACAACCTGAGCCGAAGTCAGACGCTCAACCAGCTGAGCCACCTAGGTGCCCTGAGGTTAGAGTTTTAAATCAGAGGTCACAGCAATTTCAAAGAGCTAGAGTAGGAATCAGTAAACTGTTTCTGTAAAGGGCCAGATAATAAATATATGGGGCTTCACAGGCCTCTGTCTCTGTAGTCTCTGTCACAATAACTCTACCCAGCTATTTTAACACTAAGGTAGCCATAAACAATACACAATCAAATGGTTGTGGGTGTGTTCCAATAAAATGTTATCTATAATAATAGGTGGCAGGACAGATTTGCCCTAAAGGCAGTAGTGTGACACTCTGGACTGGAGGTCACAGTTAGGCATTTTGGAAGGTCCAAAGGATGGCAAATGTGACCAGAATAAAGGTGAGAGAGGAGAAAGGTGAGATGCGAGAGATAAGTAAGAGCCAGATCACAGAAACCTGTAGACCACACAGAGGATGTGATTTGTTCTTCCTCACCCATTCACTCACCAAATATCCATCAGGGTCCTACTAGGAGCTAGGAACTGGGACTACATAGGAGTTAGGCTCAATCCTCAGCCTAATGGGGTTTTGATATAGGGAAGAGGTGTAAGCTAAGGAGTTTAGAACAGATCAGATTTCCTCTCTGATTCATGACATATTCTCAGAGCCAGCCAGAGGCATAGTTGTCACCACATCCATCGTCATGCCGAAGCACGAGTTCTCTGTGGACATTAACTGTGAAGGCTGCTCCAATGCGGTCAGTCGGGTGCTCAACAAGCTAGGAGGAGTTGAGTTTGACACTGACCTACACAACAAGAAGGTTTGCATCAACTCTGAGCACACAGTGGATCTTCTGCTGGAGACCTTGCAAAAAACAGGAAAAGCTGTTTCCTACCTCGGCCCCAAGTAGTGAGGGCCTGGACCCCTGGGCCCAAGATGGACCAAAGGGGGCAGGCCTCTGATCCTCTCCTGCCTTGTGGACAGACAAGGGGCCTGGCAGTCCTTCTCAGCAATGGGAGTTCCCACAGAGACCCTCACCAGCCCTGCTCCTCCCTAACTTCCCTGCAATAAAATCGAGCCACATTGGTGGGAAAAAAAAAAAAAGGTTTCATCCAGGTTTTGTCACAGGAACCATGGGAGCTGCTCTGAACTTGCCCTACTGCTTTTGTTCAAGCCTTTATTAATTCTCTTCTGGATAATCATAACAGTCCATTAAAATAGCCTCTGCCTATAACCTCACCTTCTTCCAAACTAGCCTCCAACTGTGGCACAAAAATTCCTTATTTAAAAAAGTTTTTTAAAATGTTTCATTTATTTCTGAGAGAGAGAGAGAGAGTATGTGACCAGGGAGGGTCAGAGAGAGAGGGAGACACAGAATCTGAAACAACCTCCAGGCTCTGAGCTGCCTGTCAGCAGAGAGCCCGATATGGGGCTTGAACCTACGAACCGGGAGATGGTGACCTGAGCCGAAGTCGGACCCTTAACGGACTGAGCCACCCAGGTGCCCCACAGCACGAAAATTCCTAAAAAGTAATTGTGATTGTACTCCCCAGCTCCAAACTATATTGATGGCTTTCATCACTGTTAGAGTTAAGTCCAAATCCTGAGGATGACCTGTAAGGTCCTGACTTACCAAGCTCTTGCCAACTTCTCAACATCATCTGCTCTCTCTCCCATTGGTGGGAAGTGCTAGCTGACAGCCTGGGACATCAACTCACACAAATAACATAACAGCACGTTTGTCTCATGATTAAGTAACAGGTAACATTTACATCAAAGAACATTTGATATATGTGTAAATTCTTATTACTCATGTTTCCATTGTAAATTATGAGTTGAGTAAGACTTAGTAATAAAAGAGTAAACATGTCTAGAGAGGGCATGGCACTGCTAAGCCATTTAATGCTCACAACTATCTTCTAAGGTAGGTAGTATCATTGTCTCTATTTTACAGATTAGGAAACTGAGGCACAGAAGGGTTAACTTTCCCAGAATTACACAGCTTGTGTAAGTGAGGGCATCAATATTCAGACTCAGGAATTCTGGCTCTATAATCTGTGCTATTAAGCACATTAAGCCATGATGATGTTATTTTAAAATACTGACTGGAGTGCCCAAGTGGCTCAGTTGGTTGAGGGTCTGACTTCGGCTCAGGTAATGATCTCATGGTTTGTGGGTTCAAGTCCCGTATCAGGCTCTGTGTTGACAGCTCAGAGCCTGGAGTCTACTTTGGATTCTATGTCTCCCTCTCTCTCTGCTCTTCTCCTACTCACTCTCTGTCTCTCTCTCTCCTTCAAAAATAAATAAACATTAAAAAATATATATATATTTAAAATACTGACTGAAGGGGCACCTGGCTGGCTCAGTCAGTACAGCATGCAACTCTTGAGCTTGGCGTTGTGAGTTCAAGCCCCATGATGCCCATAGAGATTACTTAAAAACAGAATCTTAAAAAAAAAAAATTAAAAGACTAAAATGAAATAAAATAAAATATAAAATAAAATAAAATAAAATAAAATAAAATAAAATAAAATAAAATAAAAAATACTGAAGCTGTGCCTATAGTCTAAAAGCATGGTCTCTGGCTAGGAACATTAGGTTCATCTGGAAGCTTATTAAAAATGCAAGTTCTCAGGCTCAAGCCCTGACCCACCGAGTCAGAGTCTCTGGAGGTAGGGCTCAGGAATCTGAGTTTCAGCAAGCTCCTTAGGTGATTTTTAAGCATGATTAAGTTTGAGACTCACTGCTCTAAAACACTTACTCCTGTGGAGTAATGGCCTTAATGGAGGCAAAGCTTAAGACAAGCATGAGAATAATTTTGACAAAAGAAGTAGAAATCAAATTCTTTTTAACATACAAAGGTCTCAAATTATGACATTGAAAGAGATCCTAGTACAGAACAATATAGGTTGTCAAAGGTCCTGAGAAACACTTGAGAGGATGAAAAAAAGTACAGGATGAACCTGAACTTCAAACAATCAGGCCTGGGTCAAGTCCACACGCCTACTAACCAGCTGTGTACCTTTTAGCAAATTGCTTAACCACTTAAATAACAAGTTAAAATAATAATCCCCTTGACCTATACTCCATGATGTTCGTGAAAATCAAGTGAGATAATGTATGTGACAATGCTTTGTATGGAAGGATAACACGGTGATCAAGTTTCATTTTCTGCTGTAACTCTTTACAATAGAATATATTCATCTTCTCTGCTACTCAGAAAGTGGATAGGATTTTGAATCTTGCAGTGACTTCAAAGAATTCTCTTTAGTGCAGGTTGTAGGATACACAGCAGTATGTGAATGAGGGGTTGCTTTGGGCTTCACAAGACAGAAAAGAGGGAAGTGTCCTCACTGAGAAAATGGGTCCAGAGCTTTGGTAGATGGTGGTCGGAATATCATTATATATCCCTGAACTCATCTGTAGCTTTATAATTTCTCCCCCCAGAAATATTTAATTAAAACCTGTAATAGCTTAGGCCAATGTTCAGTCCTGTACATTCTTATGGCCTAGCATTTGCTGTTATACAGGCTGTTTACAGTAGCTTCTGTTCTGATTGGTCAATGTTTGTGCCACTCAGGTTGTTAAATTTTTAAATAGCATCTCTGGTTATACCCCATAATGGAAAGAGATATTATTTGAAGTTTATGTCAAACAGAAGCAATTCCCCCCTGTCTGGGATGGTTTATTGGGTTCATCCTATGCTTCACGAGGCCTGTCTATTCCTATGACTTTGCCTCCATTGCATAGTTCTTGACTTAATGACAAATAGTTTCCGCATGTTCATTCATCAAAACAACACAATTTATACTTTACTTATTCTGTTTCTAGCACATTTCTCTGGCTGAGGAAGACATGAGCCACCATTCTGGAAGGCTCATACATGTGAGGGTAAGAATTTGATTTCTAGGCTGGGGCTTCTTTTATTCATTTCACAAAGCTAGGATATCCCAGGCCACCACTCTCTTTTCTCCCACTGCTATTTCCTCCCCTCAACTAGGGACAGAATAGGTACATTTCCTCTGTATTCATTTTTTTCCTCTTGGATTAAAAGCAGCTTTCAGATAAATGTGAATCACTTAAGACAGGGAGCTACTACTGGGAGGGTTTAAAGGCCTCTCATAAAAAAACAAAACCTATTACGTATATCCCTCACTTGAATTGACTTAAAACCATATAATGGATACCTATGTCTTACAGTCTTTACCTCCAAATGGTAGGTGGTAGGGACACCGGTTATTTTTTAAGCAGGCATAATTTTTAACTGAAGCTGAAATGTTCAAAGTGACCACTAGCTATACTGGTCGAGGCATGATATGGACACTTAATCCTGTAAATTACAACAATTAAAAAAAGATTTCTGGCTCTGCTCAAAGTGACCCATTCAGTGTAAGGAGCAGCCCACCATTCTCTCTCACTTGGGGTGACTTAGCTTCCCACATCTAGGACCTATTTAACAGACACTTTAAATTCTGCAGATAGTCCGCTAAAGCAGGGATGGTGACTGATTTTCTTTTTAGGTGCTCTACATAGATCATGTACTGGGTTAAGTCCCTTCATTCCACCAGCACCCTCCCCCCCCCCCCCCCCCCCCCCCCGCCCCCTGCATCCCTTTCCCTGAAAAGCAAAAATCCTAGAGGACTTAAGGCCTTGTTACTCAAGGCATGGTCCATGGACCAGCAGATCTGAGGTTGCCTGCAAGGCTGCAGAAATGCAGAGTCTCAGGCCCAAACCAGACCCACAGAACTCTGCCACTTTTTAACTAAGTTTCCAGGTGATTCATATTCACGTTAAAGTATGAGAAGTACTGGTTTACGTGATGCATTTGTTAAAGCCCATACCAAAATTGAATCAAGATTCTCTACTTAGTATGAACACTTGAAAAAAAAAAAGATGACTTACTTCGCTTTTGAAGAGCAGTGCTCGAAGGAAAGCAACCTGAGCCTTGGTTGAGAGGAAGTGGTGATACCAAGAAGACTTCTCCCCTTACAGGTTTTCTTATAGAGACTGCTGCTCTTGAAAGTTCCAGGAGCTCACTTTTGCCAGCCCTCAGGAGGTAAGAGAAAGAATCAGAGAGGAAATGGAACAGCTCCTCCGCCAGGTCCTGCAACAACCAGGAAGACAGAGGCTTACCGGAAAAAACTAGCCTTGGGGAAATGTCCAGGGTAAAATGAATGGTTCTCATACCTCCTTGAGTTCCTTTCTTCTCCACCAGCAGCTAGTTATTACCCACATTTCTTTCTCGACCACTGGGATTCAAACTGATGACCTAATGCCTCCAATCAGCCTGGGATCCATTTTCAACATTCCTGGCAAGAGGATGGGAAAGGGAGAAAATGCACGAGTCAGAGATATTTTTTTATCTTTCTCTTTGTGCAACAGAATCCTGACAGCAGCATCTCTGACACAAGCAACAGCTTGAGGAAGGGTCAAAGTCAGTCCTAGCAAATCATTTTGCTCTGTGTAAACTTCCTGTCTTTTGTCAGCTCTGACGAAATAGGGGAGGAGGGGGTCTCCTCTCATAGGCCCTGCCTTTTGGCAAAAAAGTACAAGCAGGAAGACAGCAGATTTGGAAGGAAGTGAAAGAAACCAAAGCAAGGACAGTGTTAGGTTTCAGGGCAAAGACCCACCAGAGATCAGAGGAGGAGAGAGAGGCTATCTTTAGAAGATGCTAGCCTGCTCATGTTCTCCTTTTCTAAGCCAGAAATAGAATAGGAAGGTAGGACCGTATTAAATAGGCATTTCTATTCTGAAAACACGATGACGTCAAATGCAATAATAGGACATTTACATAGTTGACCATTTGGCTGTGCTGTAAGCATGGGCAAAGCAGATATATCTTGTCTGGAATATAACTAAGCAAAGCATGTGTGTGTTATACTAGTAGTGTGATTGTCTGTATATGAGCAAGTCCTAAAGGTAAAAAGTCATGCAAAACTACAAACTTCTAATCAATGGTACATTTAAAAGAAATGCTGATAAATCCATAGACATAGCTGAAGTTTTATTGCAAGGTTTATTCTAAACCAAATAGAGCTAAATTTGAAAATACTATTTAAG